CTGACCCCTCTCACAGTCCAGGAACCCTCAGGGGATGTCCTCGGTGGGAGGCGACCAGGATGATCAGGGGAAGGCACTGCCCCCATCACCCTGCTGCTGCTGCCACTGCAGCTGCTGCTGCCACTGCAGCTGCAGGCCCTCGGCCCTTGCTTCTTAGTGCTGGCCCTGCCCCCCACCCACTGGTGGATAGGGGGTGATCTGGGGCCAGGCCTGCTGGGGGAGGAGCTGTGGGAAATTGAGGGACAGCAGGTTGCACCCCGTCCAGCCTCTGCAGAGGCATGGTGCCTAGACCAGGCCCAAGCTGCTGCCTCTGTGGCTGCCTCTGCAGAAGGGGCAGCACTGGGACCAGGCCACACCACAGCCTGTCCCGCGCCACCTTTGTGGAAGGGGGCGCGGCACTGCCTCCTCACTGCCTCTGCAAAAGTGGCCGCAGTGCTGTACCAGCGGCACCAGAATGGCTCACCCCTTCTGTGTGAGCTCCTGACCCGCCCGCCCCTCCCATGTGGTGCCAGCCCTAGGCCCTCACAGCCGCTGTGGCTTTGTCCAGATTGACGTCTGCCCTAAATAGCATATTACTTTTATTAGTATAGATTTTTTATTGATTTCAGAGAGGAAGAGAGAAGGAGAGAAACATCAATAATGAGAATCATTGATTGGCTGCCTTCTGCATTCCCCCCACTGGGGATCAAGCCTGCAACCCAGGCATGTGCCCTTGACTGGAATCGAACCCAGGGGCCCTTCAGTCCACAGGCCAACACTCTATCCACAAATACAGCTAGGGCTGTATTTGCTTTTCTTGCTTACAATTTCAGTCTTCTAAAAGTTAATTTTCTACCTTTATAGGTGTGACTCCCACACGTAAGGGCAGTGATTCATTAGGTCATCCAACAAAGGTTGAAATGACAGATTGTCCAAATCCTCCTAAAAGAATGAGAAGAGAAGTTACAAGACAAAATAGGTGAGTCTATGACCTGAGAGTTATCATTGGTTAGTTTATCAAAGAACTTGTCTCATTATGCTTTAAAAAATAGCATGAATTTATTTCTAATTTTCCCCTTGAGCCAGAATTAGCATTTTTTTAACTGAACTAAGTGATGGATAATGAAGGAAGACATAATCATTATATTCTTCTAGGATACTCCAATTTTCTAAATAATGTTTGCTAATTATTTGGAAAGTTTAATAGTTTATTTTTATATGTAAAAAGTCAGTGTTAAGATTTAAATTGCTCTTCTGTTGTTTGGCTTAACTTTCAAAAACTGCATTCTACTTCATAGGATCAGTAACTTGGTAAGTATAGGCTATGCAAAACCATTTCACATTACTTGTTTTAAAATTGTATATCATGTTTGATTTAGAAAATCATATACCATGTAGATAGCTCACCAAAAAACCAACAAAGCTGTCTGCAACTAACACAATGATAAGAAAACTATCCTTTTAGATTAGCTATTAGGCCCTCACACAGAAGGATACCATGGTACACGGGCTTCTTGTACATTATTTTAAAAATTTTACATATAACCTTTGCCTGTATACATGTCTCATATTGACCTGAGAGTAGTTCCTTTGAGACTGTAGTATTTAGAATTGGTATCCATGCCCTTTCTATCTACATATTCTACATTTATGCAGTAAATGTTTGAATGCTCATTGTATGCTATATATCACTAGGTGAATGAAAGTGGGATGTGTGGTAGGAATTTAATTCATTCCATGTAATTCATTCCTTAAGGCATTAGAGCTTAAATCTCTAATAAATTTGAGAAAGGCTCAATTTAACAAGTATATAGGAGATAGGGGAACTTTAGTAACAAGTTAAATGATACCACAGGAAGCAGTCAACCAAATCCAGAATGTCAAGTATAGGATATTGTACAGGAAAGATGACTGCTTTTGTCTATAAATCAATGACGTAAAAGTAGGATGAACTATTTGTTGTAGAATAAAAGTAATTGAAAGATATAACAATCAAATGTAGTATGTAACCCTTTTTTGGATCTGGATTTGAATCTTTAAAATGACAGTTTTGAAAAGATTTGGAGAAATGTCAATATCACTTGGATATTGGTTATATTAAGAAATTATTAATTTTATATATATACTAGAAGCCCGGTGTGCGGAATTCCTGCACTGGTGGGGGGTGTGGCCTGGGGGATCAGCCTGCTGTGGGAGCACCACTTATTCCAGTCAGCTGAGCGGCTGCTCCCACTGTGGGAGCACACTGACCACCTGGGGCAGCTCTGCCCCCTGGTGGTCAGTGCACATCGTAGTGACTGATTGAGTGGTCGTTCTGGTCATTCCACCATTCAGTTGCTGGTCTTTTATTATATAGGAAGGATAACAACATCATGGTATTTACATTAAAATAAATATATATTAGAAATGTGGCCTTGATAGGTATGGATCAGTGGTTAGAGCATTGGGTCTTGGGCACATACCATGGTTATAGATTCGACCCCCAGTTCCAGTCAGGGCGTGTACAGGAGTCAGCCAATCGATGTGTGTCTCTCACATCAATGTTCCTCTCTTTCTCTCTCTCTCTTCCTCCCTCTCCCCTCACCTCCTCCTTCTCCTCTTTCCTCCCTCCTTCCTTCCTCCCATGCTCTCTAAAAATCAGTGGTAAAAGTACCTTCCAGTGAAGATTAACAAAAAAAAAAAGAAATGTGTACTGAGGTATTTATTGATTAAATAATGTGCCTGGGATGCATTCTAAAATACTACAGGAGGAAAATGTGTAACAGGATATCAAAATAGATTGAACAAAGTATTACAATTACTGAAGCTTTTTTTATGAAGTTCCCCATAATTTTTAATTGAGTGTGTTATTAAAGATGGAGAGCATTTTTCCAGTTTTCTAGAGGCCAGTGAAGATTTTTGTT